CCCCTAGCTGCCCTTCAGGTCTGGAATTGAACCCACACCTGTGGTTTTCAGCCAAACAAAACACAGGCATGAGAGTTAAACATTTACCTCAAGTAGATACACTCCTTGGAGAGAATAATCATGGGAGAAAGAAGGGCTGCTTATGCACAGGGAGACAGCTCAGGGGGCAGGAGTGTATGGAGGGACGGACATTGGGAAGAGGTAACTATGGGGAGGAAGTGGGAGGGGAGCTGTTGCATTGTGGTAAACTGTGGTTGATGACATGAGACAAAGTATATGTGAACTGCTGTATGGAAAGTGAATTTGCTCTGTAAATATTCACCCAAATCAAAATCACAATTAAATAAATAAAAAAAAAAGATTCGTAGTCTTGGAACCCTATGGGGCAGTTATACTCTGTCCTATAGGGTTGCTAAATCAAAATCACCTTGATGGCAACTGGTTTATCAGGTAACATGAGGCAAACCATAGCACAGTGGGTCCTAATCCCATCTGAGTGGTATCCTTATAAAAGAGAAGAGATGACACCAGGAGACAGACTTGGGAAGGATAGTTATGTAAAGATGCATCTGCAAGCCAAGGAACCCCTGGGTTACCAGAAGCTGAGAGAGACAAGAAAGGAACTTCCCCTACAGCCTTTGCATAGAACATGGCCCTGCTGACACTCTGAATTCAGACTTCTAGCCTCCCGAACTGAGAAAAAATAAATCTGTCATTAAAAGCCAAAGCACTAAGCAGCTGTTGTCACCTGCCATCATGCCTCTCACATGATGGCCTGTCAGGCACTGACCTTGCTGTCATAATCAGATGTGTTCACACACGTGTGGATCACGTACAACAGTGAGTCCACCAGGCCCTCACAGGATCGCATTTGCTTCCGCGCTTCCTCCCCTGCAGAGCTGAGATTCCTAAATGGTGGAGACACACAGGAGCTGCTGAGATGGACAACTGACTCATTAGCCACACTGCCTTACCTTGAAGATCTGAGAATGGACAGCAGATGGCAGCCATCTGTATTTGGCTTGAGAAGGCATCTTGGACCTTGCATTTTAATATACTGGAAGTGCACTCGAACAGCCAGCTCCCCATTATGCACAAATGGAAAGGGAGCTGGAGCATTTAACTCTCATGACATGGAACTTTCTCAACTTCTAATATAATTATTTTTGTACCTATTTTCTCTTATGTAAAAAGAAAATAGTAACTACCTCACGACACTATCATGAGGAAGAAATGGGAAGGTACTACATATAAAACAATTAGAAAAGTGCCTACCACATTGAAACTATGGTTGTTATTGTTACACTTGTTTTACTCCCTTGTTAGGCCGTAAGCTCCTTGCAATACCCTGTGCCCAGTATGGTGTTTTGCATGTCATATGTGGTCATTAAATGTTTCTTCAATGAACAGAGGAAACAATTTCTTGTATATATATCTCAAATTAAATATGGACACTTGCTTTTTCTGTAATTTTTCTTTTCCAGTTATAAACGTTCCTGAAAATTGCTTTGGGTCTTATCTGTATTTAAATTGGTATCAGTTTGCCTTCACAAGGTGATACCAAGTTATAAGGATCTATTTTGTGCCCCATAACAATGGTTCTAGACTAACTCTGAGGTTTTGCAAATTGAGAATTCGCAAATCTTAGACTAGATAAGGGGGGTTTGGAATGACTTTTCTCTGTTGTTGTTACTGTTGTTAGTTGCTGTCAAATCAATTCTGACTCATGGCCATCCCAAGAGTGCAAGGTAAAACTGTATACACACACACACACACACACACACACACATAGTTGTTGTTATGTGCTGTCGAGTCGGCCCCGACTCATAGCAACCCCTCCTTGGGTTTCTGAGGCATTATCACTACAGAAGTAGATTGCCCAACCTTCCTTCTGAGGAGTGGCTGGTGGGTTTGAACTGCCAGCCTTCTGGTTAGCAGTCAAGTGCCTGAGGCACTATGTTACCAGAGCTCCTGTATGTGTGTGCCTGCGTCAATCAATCAATCAATCAATCTTTAAATCTCTACCATTTCCCATTTTTATTCTGGCAATTGTGATCTGGGTGAAAGTTGACAGAGCAAATTTATTTTCTATACAACAATTCATACACATTGTTTCATGACACTGATTGCAATCCCCACAATGTAAGAGTTCTCTTCCCACTTCCTCCCTATGGTTACTTTTTCCCTGTGTCCTTCTTTCCTATGCATTCCTACCTTCCCTGAGCTACCTCCCTGTGCAAATGCTACCCTTCAGATTTCCCATGGCTGATTGTTCTAAGTACACCTACCTGGTGAAAATGTTTACCTTACACACCTGTCTACTGTTTGGGTGGAAGCCACAGGAGTGAGTTCAACTCCAGGACTGTACGGTGACTAAAAGCCTTAGTCTTGAGGGTTTCACCAGTTTCTATCAGACCAGTAAGCCAAGTCTTTTTATGATTTTAAGTTTTGTTCCACATTTTTCTCCCACTCTGTCTAGTATCTCCTATTCTGATCCTTTTCTGAGTATTAACAGTGGTAATTAGGCACCATCTAGTTCTTTTGGTGGCAGGGTCATGTAGACTAAAGTTCACATGGTCCACTAGTCCTCTGGACAAACTGTTTCAATGCATCTTTGCTTCATGTGAAGAAAGACCAATTGTTGCATCTTAGATGGCCATTTGCAATCTTTTAAGACCCCAGCAATTACTCACCAAAGTAGGATGTAGAACAATCTTTTTGTGTAGGATATTATGCCAATTGAGCTTTGTGAGAGTTTGAGTTGTGTGTCAACTTGGCTGGACCACAATTCTATGTGGTTTAAGCAGTTGTGATGTGGATTATTCCCATGATGGGATTGGATGTATATGTTTTGAGCAGCCAATCTGTTGAAAGGGAGTTTCCCTAGGGGTGTGGCCTGCTTCCAATATATTTATGGACATCCTGGGAAAATGAGACACTTTTCTGTGGATCAGGATTCTGTTGTGCTGCCTACAACTGTCCATGAGCAAACAATCTACCATTTGGCCTGGTGATCTTGGATTCATCAGTCATTGGCATCAACAGCCAGTATACTGACTGCCAACCTTGAGTTTGTCAGCCCCTGCAGCTGCGTGAGTTGGGAAAAGCCTCCACAGCTTGATACTTGATCCAAGAACTTGGGACTTGCCAGCTTCTCTAAGTGTGTGAGCCATTTTCCTAAGATAAATTTCTCTCTCTATATATAAGCTTTACTGTTTTTGCTTTCTAGAGAACCCAGTCTAACACATTTGGGGCCAGGAGTGGTTCTAGAGAGACAAAATCCTAAGGATGGAATTCCTAAATTGGTTCTCACCAGCCTAACACAAGCTTGATATCCCCAGCAACTGTGGTCCTGAGCCTCTGGTCCCAGGAACTCACTTCCTCAGGGTGTTTGGTCATGCCTAAGAATTTACCATAACTTTGCCCCATTAGCTCTATTATACATACATGGACATTCTTATAATACATAAAAATACATATGTAGAAATATCATTTGTCAACATTATATATGGTCATGGTTATATTCCCTTTTGCCTAGATATACCTGATCATTTAGCTTACTTATGTATGCACCTGTAGATTAATGTTATCACTGATAATGCAGTATTATGTATGTAAAAGTGTTTATCATTATTGTCTGTCCCTCTTGTGCACCTATAGAGTTTTTAAGGCTGTGACCTTTTGGAAGCAGATAGCCAGTACTGTCCTCTGAGGCAGCTCTGGGTTTGTTTTAACTGTCAACCTTTTAGCCAGTAGTCAAGCATTTGACCATTTGTGCCCCCTGGAGATTACTGACTTTGTTTTTCTGAGGTCAGAGACACTCTGTTCTCTACTGCTCTCTTCCCCTCTTACCTCAGCAACATTGAACATTAGGAATCTTCCTTTCCTCTAGAAGTTCTGGGGATACCACACTTTCTGGTTTCCTTCCCCTCGTGCTGCCTTTCCTTCCTAGTCTCTTCTGCCTGCATGTTCCTCCAGGAGTGCTCATGGCTCTACTGTGGTCCCCCTCCTTGCTTTTATCTTTGCACTCTCCTAGGTGGCCTAAGACTCCCAAATTCCTATCTTTAGCTCTGACCTCTCTTAGAACTCCAGCCTCATTTATCCAAGTGATATAACTAATTGGACATCTCAAAATGGATGTGCCTACAGAGAACTCTTATCTGCTCACGTCCTCTTTTCTCCCTCCCTGGTAACAGCAATAGCACTTCCACAAACCCTGCTGATCCAGTCAAAGACTGAGGTGTTACCCTTATTTGTTTCCCTTTTCTCACCCCTCGTATCAGCAAACATTGTCCCACCTACCTCCAAAAAACCACCCAAATCTACCTACTTCTCTCTAGCTCCTAGTCTAGGCCACTCTCATGGTTCACCTGGATCACTGTGACAGCCCATGTCTTCCTGACTCTACTTTTGACTGTAACCAATTTTCCACATCGTAGCCAGAAACCAGTTCCATCTCTGCCCTGCTTAACGCCCTGATAGTTACCCATAGTACTTGGAATAAAATGCAAACTCCTTCCTCGAGTTTCCAAACTGCTACATAATCTGATACCAACCCTCCCTTTGTCCATTCAGTTCATCCCTGCTCCAGAGTCTTTACACTAACTGTCCCCTCTGCCTAGATTGCTCCTCCTGACCTTCCACTCTCACATCTTAGTGTTCACTAAGATCTCAGCTTAAATTTTACCTATGAAAGACTTTCCTGACCACCAAAGCAACCACCCAGTAAGTCTTACATCACCTTACTTTATTCTATCTATTGCATCTATTGTTACTTTATTTTCTGTCTTCCTCAAGAGAACCTGGTTCCGCCAGAGCAGGAACCTAGTCAGTGCTGTTCACCATTGATTTTTGAGGACCTAGATGAATACTTGACACACACACACACACATTCACCAAGAGTTCACAGCCCCTGATTCATTGGGGAAGAGCCTGAGGATGAGTCCTACTTCTGGGTTTTTCCTGACAGTGAACTGAGGAGGAATCACAGCCTCCACAAAGGCAGGGGAAGATGCTGCTTCCACTTGGGATCAGCAGGTGATAGGATGCATCCCTGTGATGCAGGCACCTCAGTCAGGAGGAGCTGGCCTGTGCATCAGGATCCTGACTCTTGTCCCTCCTCCACCTTTCCCCCGTGTGCTAGCCGAGGGACCAAGTCACCTATCACAATAGTGGAATAGTGGTTTGAGAGCAGCAGTGCAGGTCGTGTTCTTCCTCTCTTTCAAGGTCTCTGTATCTTGCCAACTCCTTACAGCTCCAGGATGCTCTGACCAGTCCCACTTTCAAGATGAGGAATCTGAGGCTCAGAGCTGACACTGGATGCCAATGGCTAAGGCCAGAGCCCACTGTCCTTGTCACCACACCTCTCTGCCTAGAACTTGTGTTTCAAGTTCCCAGGGCACTGTAAGGCTGGACATGGGTAGAAATTGAGTCAATGAGTGTTAATGGCAAGTAACGAGCAACACTATATGCACTTGAAGGAGGCTTCACAGATTTTAAATATCAACGGTAATGACTGAAAAGGACTATTCAGGCTCATTTTCATTTATTTATGAACACATACCTTTATACCCTTTTAAAAGCACAATAATTAAAACCATCATGTTCTGAATTTAAACAAAAACTAGGCTACAAGCACATTAGTAATCAGAATGTGATAACCAGAAAAACGCTGTTAAAGTGGAAAACACTGGAATTTTGGCAGTAATCTTAGAATGAAAGAGCCTTTCTGAATAATTCACATAAGAGTCACATTCATAAGACAACTTTCTTAAGGCCACAAGTCTGTGCTCATAATGTTTTCCTCACAGGATCCACAAAATCCAGTGGCCTAAATCCTCAAAGAAAACCAGAAACTTAGATAACTGTTAATAAAAGAAGTCCTCCTAAAATTAATTTACCTATGACATGTACTATTTAATCACAAAATCAACTGGAAAGAAGAAAGAGAGTATACCTCAGGCAGCCTGTTGTGTTACGCAGAACTAGTGAAGTCTGAAATTTAATTTTATGATCATCATCAAAAGAAGAGTTATTCCATCCAGAATGTGGAACTATCACAGTGTTTGTTAAGGTTGAGAGAGCATCTCGAATGATTGTCATCTTTACGGTATCACATGAGGATAAATTCCAAAGAACTCCTAAAAGAGATTTAAAAAATCAAATATTCATTTAGAGATCCTGCAGTTTTAGGAATAAAATAGATAAACACATTAGCTCTATCAGATGTGAACCCAGTCTGTTCTAAAACTAATCTACGGCCTATATTTGCAACCAGGCACGGGGTGGCCCCAGTAAGTGCTGCGTGAACATATGTGAGCTTCTGGCAGTAATATAAAGTCTTAACAATCTCTCTCTTAAGTTGTACAGCCTATGCTCTACCAGACAAGATGACTGTGGCTTTTGCAAAGCAAACTACAAATTACTCTGTGAGGATTCAGAGAAGTCAATGCAAGAAAGGGTCATGAATATAATGTATCTGTGATTTTTGTAAAGCTGTGGTTCACTTCATTGTCTCTAACATTCAATGTTCTGTGTGACAAAGGATTTTTATAATTTTATGTTTGGATTTGTTTTTCCCTGTCTGTCCAAAGATTGGTATGTTTTTCTTCATCATGTTCCCTTTTCTTACTTTTGCTACTGGGAAGCTCAAGCTCAAGTATAAGTATTTTAAAGTAACTTTATTGGCATAGAGGCTTGTTTTACTTGCTTCATCTTCTATATTTGCATAAAGTTTAAACACTTCTCTTTTAGTTTAAACACTTGAAGAGTTTATTACCTTGTGTTTTAGAAGTGTAAGTTACCGCTGCTGTCTTTTTAAAGATACTGAGACTAACAATAAATTAAAAATTATTCATAATTTATCAATATTACTAGGACAACAGATTTTAAATGTAGCTTATTGAAGGATTATTTAAATTGATAAACATTTTACAGGATCTTAATTTCTGTGTCAACTATGAGGTATGTTAAGTTACTATTATAGCACATATTTTCTAATAATTACTCTTTCAGAAATTAGAGTGAAGTCAAGTTATACCTACCCTAATGTTATTTCACATCAATGTATTTTCCTGAGGAAGAGTGGAAAGAGGTGGAGGAAAGATGGTGCAGCTGTTTTTCTCTGGACTAAGTCCTTCAGAGCCCCTCTGTTCCTGACACATCCTTGCCTGGTTGCTCAAAACTGCACAGTACTGTTGTAACTGTCAACACATGAAAATGCTATGGCCCTATGGATGGGATATGGCCGTATGTGCCCAAAGTCACGGGAGTCTATCAGAAGTGTGAACATTATGGATCAAGAGTGTCGGGGCAGAGATGAGACTGCTCCAGTGTACGGTAGTGGAAGGACCAAGCTTGAAAACTGCCTACTCAGCCCTCCCAGGACCTGGAGAAGTTACAGGGCTCTTTATAAAGGAAGAAGATATGAGAGCTGACAGGATTGTTTTAAATTTGTTTCCTTTCTGGAGGGAGGAGAAGTAAAAGCAAAGGACTGAAACTGAAGACAGTTAAAAAAACACAACTGTGAGTATAAACTGAGGGAAGACCATCCCTTCTCTGCACATCTGTTCTGACCCAGCCATCCTGACCCATCCACATGCTGTGAGTGAATGGTCAATAACGGCAGCTGGGGCTTGCGCTCCATCCTGGGCGAATGTCCAGGGTCCTGTGCTCTGCTCCTCATCTGTGCCCACACACCTCTCCCTTCCACTTGGTTTTGACTTTTAGATATCACTGATGTGGCTTCCCTTATTCCCCAAGGACTTTCACCCTTACTCTGCTCCTATCAAAATTGCAACCTTTTCAGACTCAACCATAAGTAGTGGTTCATCCTGGTTCTCCCTACAAAAGGGATGGGAGAGGGGTTTAGACAGTTCAGAATTGGGAGAAGTAAAGATTTTGCCTTCCCTCTAAAGTTTGTTCTGCCCACCATGACAGAACTTTGCTTCTATAAGTATCACAGATGTGATCCTAGTAAGATGGTAGTATATACTGTAGGGCTTAGAAATGAACTTAAATCCCACAAACTGAGCATTTCTTCATGGAATCTTAAAAAACTAGATATAGTTTCAATATAAATTGTTTTTGGGCAATGGCTTAAAGCTGTGCTCCCTGAATTCTGGAGGTTTCAAAGGACTTACTAGGGGCAGCCATGTGGGAAGAGGGAGAGGAGAAAGCCTGGTGGCGGCCCAGATCCCCACCCCCGATCACTCAGAGCAGCTCCATACTGATCTAGGCTTCACTGTATGCTCTGTTTGAAGAAAGGGCTCTATGTTTAAAAGACAATTGATGTTTTCTGGGAAAAGAAGTAGAGGAGTGATAACCGTGGAAGGGATCTGTGAACTAAGGATGAGAAATGATTCTTTGGAGGTCTGTCCTGACCCAAATAACAGGAAAAAGGAGAAAAGACAGATTAGAGTGTGGGTTGGAGCATAGCAGGGGGGTGACAGAGGCAGATATACTGCTGAAGAAGCCAAGAGTGTTGCTTTAACAGTTCCTGCAAATGAGGCCAATGAACCTCCACACTCAGGGCACCCATAGAGCCTGCTAGGGCTGGTGCCTGCAGTGGCAGAGCCATCAGCTGTCTTTAGGATCTACAGGGCAAGGGTCATTTCCTAAGCTCTCCCAATGCTAACTTCCTAACATGTGATTCCTAATGCCTTTAGAGAAAATTCTCTTTCTGTCAAAGCCTTTCAAATCCCTCACTCCACAAACTGCAACACATGAGGGAGAGCTGCAGATTCCAGTAAGCTACTTTCTACTCCACAGAATACATTCCAGTAAAATTAAATGCAAGGCCAGGTTTGTGTTAAGTAAAATCTTTCATGTCATAGACTAGAGGTATAAAATTAGATATATTTCTACCGAAAATTCGACAGCCTGAGTCATAAACATAAGGTGGAAACATGACTAAGAGAGGGGTGGTTCTTAAGCACACTGAAACCTGGATTTAATGCCTGAAAGTTCTTGGATTCTTTGCAAAAAAGCTTGCTTTTTGCTTCTACTCCTGGCAGGAAGATACTTCCCAGACTTGAGGATTCCTTGACTTTCTCTGCTGCTTCTAGTATTTTATTCTGCTTTTTCTTCCTGCTTGCAGACATTTAGAGACCAGTGGAGGTATATATAGTAAAGCTACAGTGTACTATTTATTGCCCATTATATTTATATTGTCTTGGACACAGCCTAAACATCCATAAAGCAATATAAACAACAGTTACATCACCATTTGTTGCAATTTTATTTTGTGCCAAGCATTGTGCTCCTTACATATAGTTTAAAGAGTGAAGCTGCACAAAATGAATTAACTTCCTACTTAATTATTTCATGGGTTTGAAATTCTACATATTCATTTTTTTAAGGATGATGAACATTTGTATTTCTAAATTTAATTGAAATGCAAATTCCATTAGGCAAGTAGGTGGTGGTTGTTGTTAGGTGCCATAGAGTCAATTCTGCCTGACAGCCACCCTCATGATCGTTATCTTGCAGTCCGTTGTTGCAGCCACTGTGTCCATCCATCTTGTTGAGGATCATCTTCTTTTCTGTTGAACATCTCTTTTACCAAGCATGATGTCCTCCTCCAGGTCCCTCCTGATAACACGACCAAAGTACGTGAGACAAAGGCTTGGCCTCCTTGCTTCTAAGGAGCATTCTGGCTGTACTTCCTCCAAGACAGATCTGTTCATTCTTCTGGCAGTCAATGGCACATTCAAAATTTTTCAACACTGTAATTCCAAGGCATCAATTCTTCTGCAGTCTTTCTTATTCACTGTCCAACTTTTGCACATGAGGTGACTGAAAATACCATGGCTTGAGTACCTTAGTAGTCAAACTAACCTCTTTGCTTTTTAATACTTTAGAGAAGTCTTTTGCTGCAGATTTTCCAATGCAATATACATTGTTTGATTTCTTGACTGCTGCTTCCATGGTTGTTGACTATGGATCCAAGTAAAATGAAATCTTGACAACTTCAATCTTTTCTCCATTTACCAGGATGCTGCTTTATTGTTCACGTTGTGAATATTTTTGTTTTCTTTATGTTGAGGTATAATCCACACTGAAGTCTTTGGATCTTCATCAGTAAGGGCTTCAAGTCCTTTTCTTTCTCACCAAGTATGGCTGTGTCACCTGCCTATCACAGGTTGCTAATGAGTCTTCCTCCAGACCATATGCTGTGAGTGTTCTCCTTCATATAGTTTGGCTTCCTGGATTATATGGTCAGCATTTTATTACAGGGTAACCACAAAGAAAATGAATAAACCTTCTAACGTGTATGATGAATGGATACAACCCTGAGGCACACCTCTCCTGATTTTAAACCACGCAGTATTCCTTTATTCCATTCAAACAATTGCCTCTTGGTCAACTTACAGGTTTCACATAAGCACAATTAAGGGTTCTAGAATTCTCATTCTTTACAATGTTATCTATAATTTGTGATGCTCTATGTAGTCAAATGCAGGGGCACAGTCAATAAAACATAAATAAACATCCTTCTGGTATTCTCTGCTGTCAACCAAGATCCATCTGACATCAGCAATGATATCCCTCCTTCCACACCCTCTTCTGAATCTGCCTTGAACTTCTGGCAATTCCCCATGTACTGCCGCAAACATTTTTGACTTACGCTTAGCAAAATTTTAGTTGTGTGTGATATTAATGATATTTGATAATTTTTGCATTCTGTGGGATCACCTTTTTTTTTTGGAATGAGCACAAATATGGATCTCTTCTTGGCCAGATAGCTGTCTTTCAAATTTCTTGGCACAGACAAGTGAGTGCTTTCAGTGTTGCATCTGTAGAAACATCTCAATTGATATTCTGTCAATTCCTGAACCCTTGTTTTTCATCAATGGTTTCAGTGCAGCTTGGACATCTACTTTCAATACCTACAATTCTTGACCATATGCTACCTCCAAAAGTGGTTGAATGTTGACCAGTTTGTTTTGGTACAATGATTCTATATATTCTTTCCAACTTCTTTTCATTCTTCCTGTGTCAATAGTTTGCCCACAGAATTCTTTAATATTATAATTTGAGGCTTCACATTTTCTTCAGTTCTTTGAGCTTGAGAAATGCTGAGTGTGTTCTTCCCATCTGAGAAGAACTCCAGGTCTTGGCACATTTCATTATAGTACTT